TTCAAAATTTCAGATTTCGCTCAAAATTTGTTCTATCAGGTAACTTGGCACCCCGATAACGAACATCCGGTTAAATTTGCGCGAAAACTTGTGGCACGCACGCTACGGGCGAGAAGAACAGTCATGCGGGAGCAAAGGCTGACTTGTCAGCATCACCACTGAGCTATTGCGCTTCATAACTCCGTTCGGAAAATGGTTTAGCATATTTGAAAGGCAGATCTGGAATCAGCGTCCGAAGGCGCATCAGGTGGTATAAATCTCATTTCGAACGGCCACTTCTACCTACCATTCTTCCCTTGTTAGCTTTGTCAGTAATTTTCCTGCCAGCACGCCATAAAGCGTCTCAGTACTCCCCTCTTACTCTATCCTATCCATATCCTGGTACCTGCCTAATATACCTTTACGTTGAAAAATACTGCCTGACCGCTATCGTCTGGGAATAACATGGGAGCCTACTTGATTCATGATAGATTCTTCCAAGGGCATGGTCAGGATTCCACACTAATGCCCCAAGCCTACGTATTTCCCGTGTCTGCTGTTGTGCCTTACAGAGAAACTAGACAAATGTAGGTTTAATCCCAGATCTTATGGGCTTGGGGTCATTGTCAATCCATGAAGCGATCAAACAAGAAGTTTCGAAACTCCGTGGCAGGGAACAACAGAAGTTAACCCTCCAATAGCTCCTGTCTTTAGTCAATAAGAATTGCAGCATCTTTCTGAAATCTTTCAAGCATGTCTGCTTCTTAAAATAGTTCTTAATCATAAAGTAACCTTCGAAGGAATAGCAGATTACTGCAAGTATGCATTGTGCTGTAGCTGTCTAGTACCGAGCCGGATCCCCAGGCATCACCCCAAGTGGTGGCATATAGCTCTCCTTCCGTATAATTCTGCTCCAAGAAGTATTGAATAGACCTAAAACCACGGATATAAATCACGTACTTTAAGCACCACCGTCAGCACATCGCAGCTTACCTGCTCCACCCAGTCGCCAGCGGTGCTTGCGTATGCAGCGCCGCGTCGCCGTTACCGTGGATGAAAATAACGGGCTCATTTCTTATCTAAAATTAAAGGGAAGTGGAATGGGTTGTTCACGTGGCTCACCCAGCGAGCCTGCAATAGCTGCTGCTTGTGATAACCTCGCACATCCAGCTTACTCACTCGTTCAACTGCACGCTTTTTGCCACCGAAACTCCCATTTGGACCGACATCTGGTCGATCGAAGTTGTCACCTTCATAGCTGAAATGACAAAATCAAAAATCATATAAAAGCAAGAGTCACCTTAACAAAGAAAAATCCCACTTTCACCCTTTCTGGCATTTGGTACGTCGCCATAATATTAAGTCAAGTGGGACCGTGTACAAGAATGGCTTTCAAATAGAACTGCGAAGGTATCGACTACTATCCATACACATTTGTTCCAGATATCCAAGGAATGGCGTATTTTGAGCGCTATTGCGAGATTCGGCCATCATGGTAGCAATGTTTTTCAAACCGATTGACACGTCTCCTTATTGTTAAAAAAGGGCTAACCCTCAAGCAGAGGAGGAAAGACTCTAGGGTGCGTGACGACTCCATTTTCTCGACGCCCAATTTTGTCAGTCACTTGCTCCAGGGGTGGAAGAGGTGCCAAGTAACGCTATTTATCACGCGTAAGGTTCGGGGATTTAACACGTCGACGACAGCGCAGGACACATACGTCCCGCACTTTGCAGGCCACGTCGGACAGCGCGGGACGTATGTGTCCTGCACCCATCTAATTCAGTTTTTTCGCGCACCCCTAACTTTTTCCTGGCTTTTTGTATTCAATCAGTAGACCGTGCTTATCATAACTGTAAGCGGCGTGGTCCGCAGAAAGGTTAGGAAAGTCCAGTTTCTGCAAAGGCATTTCGAAGCCTGCGATGTCGCCACTTTCTGTCATTTCTTGACTTCTTCATGGGACGAGAAAGCAAATAAAAAGAATAACAGAAAATCATATCAGGATCTCTATAAATAGCCAAATTTCAAACAATTGTAAGGCTCGCTGACTCTCCCAAAGTGGCGTGAAGAAATTCACCATTTGAGGCGAAAAGCACTTCGCGATACCTTTACGAAATAAAATTTCTCTGCGGAAATGCTGCAAAATAGCTAAGCCTCGCTCAGATAGAGAAAAGCTGCAGATTTCGTGTGCTCAAATTTACGAAACAAGCAAGTATCTCGTTGAAGATGTCGTCAAGAGTGAACTCCTCAGCGTTGCATGGAGAGTTTTCCGCTAAGAAGTTTTGAAACACTACTACGATTACTAATTTTGACAAACCTCGGAAAGACCAACTCTTCTTGTTCACAACGTTTATTTCCTCAAGCAAAAAGTTATTTGTTGAGGAAGATTTGACTTTTGAAAGAGTCCAGAAAACTTCCTGCATTATTTTTCGGGGAGGAGTCAAATCTCATTATGCAGCACAAATTCTTCATGGAAATTACAAGATTAACCTGAAATTTTCTCTTTGTTTTCTAGGTTATCATCAAATCAGTTTTCCAACGCATCATATTCGACCTTTTTTACTTACGCATTGTTGAATTGCGTTAGAACCGCACTTTTTCGTTCTCTCTCTCTCAGATTACGCTTCTTATTGAGAACTACATAGAGCACTCAATGCCTAATCTTTATCAAATCCTTCTCAATGTTCTTAGTTTTTCTTATCTAATGACAGGAAAAAATTCTTGACATTGTCACCGAATCCAATCCTTTTTCGCTTTGATATTTGCTTGTTCATGGAGGGTTTTTGTTGAATTACTTGCTTTTTTTAAACCGCTTTATCGAGGTAATCAACTAATTGTGTTTCGGGCCTTTTTCAATTGCGACCTCCAAAAAACGCGCCTTGAGAGACAGCGCAGGACGCATGTGTCCCGCGGCCGCCGCGCTAGCAAAATCGCCCCTGTCCATCGCGGCCAAAATGGCCAAAACGTGCGTTCTCGTCAACGTGTTAATCATGGCTCCTACTTCATCCCGGCCAACCCGACCTTCCATCCCTCCAGGACCGGTTGGTTGGTACCAGACTTGTCTGGGAGGATAAAAACACTGACTTGTACATCGGCTGGCCCCCGCAAGTCATTGTATAGGCCACATCGCATTCAAATGCCACTGCGAATTGTGAAAAGAATGTAGAATGCGTGGCGCATCTCAATAGCGTGATTGGTCGACGCTGAATATTTTATTCCTTATCCTACCAGTAGTTGTTCCAAGAAAATGTTGTGAACGTTTCCAAAGAAGCAAATGGAGAGGTTATACTCATGCAATTGCCACAATGCTGTACAAAGTTAAAGTAGTACTAGTGGAAAGGACATGTTAACACCCATTAAAAGGCTGTACCATAAAAATGTCATCGTTCTCGTCTCAGTTTTCACATCTATTCATATACCTAGAAAAGCATTCGGCTGCTCTACAACACTACTGCTTGCACCTACACTTTCACACGTGGTGTGACTCAAGTTGTATTTCAGGCTAGCGAGATGGTAAATCCAGTCGCTGAGTCGCGGCAAAGTCGACCAAATCGCCAAATTTACACCGAACGACACGTCTTGTTGGGCAATGCATCAGCGAAGCTTTCAGAGGCCGGTGCAAACATTGATAGATATTTTCCTAGTGAAAATGGACTTTTGATTAGAAGCAGATTTGACTAATATTTGTAGGTTGTGCCTCCCATCACGCGAATCTGTGACCTTACCTTCCCTGGCAATTGTGAAATTGATCACGCATTTTTATAGAGCAGAAGAGCACCTTTCGTATGGTTCATAAAATGATGTTGAAAATGGGACGCTAGAGAAAAAAAAAACGTTGTTATCATAGGATACTGCAATGGAAGGCCTGCTCCTATCGGTCGAACGACTTGTAGAACATGAACTGCTTGTGGGCGAGGTGCTTAACCGTTTAGCGACAATGGCACCCATCGGTGGGTGCCACTCTGTCCGTCGAGTGGGACAACGGCGCCAAGCAGTGGGTGCCGCCTTAACCCTTTGACGACAATGCGGATTTGCACGTAGCGTGCTCGTGGGACCACGCCTCTTTTTGGCGCGCCCAACTCTCGCACAAAATGGGGCAAAATTGTCCCTAAAAGCAGTTTTTCTATCAAAATTTTGACTATGACAATAAACAAAATATGACTGCAGTCTTAAGCTTTATGATCATGTATTGTTGGAATTAGAAGTGGAAGTTTGGAAAGAAATCTCGGATTTCAAAGGGATGGTGTTTGAAAATCAGAAATTCAAGTGTACAGTAGATTTTTGATATAGTTCAAACTCAATCTTGTGTCTTAAAGGAATCTTGCGCGGAAAATTCTTGCACTCTTTCCTAACATGAATATGTCAGTTGTGATCACTGGAAATAGCACACAAAGTTTCACGCATGAAGATTCGGTTTCTGAAGAGAAACAAACGTACAAAAACTACACGTTATGGACCATCGAAGGACCAGGAGGCAGAGCCAGGCGAGGCATGGAAAGAAGACGGCGTTTGGCCGGCTACGTACCAGGCGACGCAATGAGAGAATCGGGTTAAAGCGCGCGATTTCGGAGAGTGGAGACAAATCGATCGATGGAATAGGATGGAGTAGAAGTGTAAGATGTGAATGCAACGAAGCAGAAGGCCACCCTAGCTTCGTATTGTTACTAGTAACAACGGGGGGGGGGTCGTACTCAGTTGAGCTTGGAGGGAGGGGGGTCGTACCCTCTCGGTGGCCGACAGTGGGATTCTTGGTAATATCGGATAATAGCCAGCACGTTACGTCTTCGTAAGATGACTGGTACTAGAGCATCTATAAACAACGCTTCCCTCTAAATGAGCTTTCGAATGAATCAGCGAATTAGAAGGGCGCCCGAGGCGTGGCGCGCACCAAGGCAAGGGATGTACGTGCAAGCGCATGCCTCGGAGCTTCAGCAGGGTCAACCCTACGTTGTTACGAGTAACAACGGGGGGGTCGTACTCAGTTGAGCTTGGAGGGAGGGGGGTCGTACCCTCTCGGTGGCCGACAGTGGGATTCTTGGTAATATCGGATAATAGCCAGCACGTTACGTTTTCGTAAGATGACTGATACAGCATCTATAAACCACGATTCCCTCTAAATGAGCTTTCAAATGAATCAGCGAATTAGAAGGGCGCCCGAGGCGTGGCGCGCACCAAGGCAAGGGATGTAGTGCAAGCGCATGCTCGGAGCTTTCTAGCACATCCTTAAATTAAACATAAAATTGGTCTTCCAAGAAGTTACGGGCAGTGAAACCTAAGAAAACTCGCGTTTTCGAGAAAATGGCTTGAAGAATACCCCTCAAAATAAAAAGTAACAACTCGGGCTGGGGGCGCTGGCTAATTTTTTGAACTACTGATCTTTCAGAAACGCTTGGGTGCTCTTAGAAAGCTTGAATCCTGTAGTTTATTATACGTGTTCAGCTTCCCAAATGAATGACTTTGAAAGAAGTTATGATCATTTGAAGGTCAAAAAGTCGCTTTGCACAGAAAAAAGTAACAACGTACTAAATTTTTATTAAATTAACTTTCGAAGAATTTTACACCCATGGTTGGAGAGAGAATAATTTGAATTTTCCAAATCAAATCACTCCGGCGCAGAAGCTCGAATGTGAAGGAAGTT